GGGGTCTGGTGTGGGCATTGTAGTTGTCCTTCTACCCCAACAATAGAAGTCTGAGAAAGGGAGGTAGGCCCCCAGTATTCTCGTAGTGCAGAGAAGCTGGCACCAGTATCCAATAAGAAAGAAATGGTCCTACCTGCCACAGTCAAGATTACCCTGGGCTCCTGGGCAGTGATCCGAGTTGAGCCAGATGTGTCAGGGCCTCTTCACTGTCCCTCCGTTGTCGCTAGACCTATCAGGTCCGAATGTTGGGGAGCTGTGGGGCTGACGGTCTGATGGCGGGTGGACGCCAAGGGACAGTCTGTGTCCCAATGTCCCCTCTGGTGGCATTTGGGACAGGGCTTGGTTGGCACCTTGGGATTAGGACAGTCCTTTGTCCAGTGGCCTTCCTGATTACACCTGTAACAGGGGCCTGGTGGTTGGGAGCCTTTTTGTAGGGTTTTTCTTCCCTGTGGCGCAGGTGGACTGGTCGAATTAAGAGCTTGTGCTAATAATTGATTTTTTTTTTTTTGTAATTTTGAGGTCGTCTCGGCCATAGTAGGCCTTGAATGTTGTGGCCAGAACCTCTGCTTGAGGGGTCAAGGGCCCCCGATCAAGCTTTTTTAGTTTAAGTCTAATGTCGGGGTAGCTCTGAGAGAAGAAATGCATCGTAATTAATCTCTGACCATCCACAGACTCAGGGTCTAGTTTGGTATGTTGATGGAGTCCATCAGTTAGCCTTTGTAAAAAGGTGGATGGATTTTCGTTCTTGTCTTGTATAATTTCATTAAGCTTTTCATAATTAATGGCCTTCATGGCAGCTCCGCGGAGCCCATGAAGGAGACAGTTTTGGTACCTGTTTCGAGCTGCAATTCCCACCTCTGTGTTGTAGTCCCATTCTGGGTCCTGATCAGGGACTGCAGCAGCACCTGCGGGGTGGTGATTGTTGGTTAAATGTTCTTGGTCTGCATGTGCACGAGCCTGATCCAGCACTCTTCTATTTTTTTCGGGAGTTAAGGCATTGGTTAAAACCACAGAGATCATGGTAAGTTAGTTGATAAGACTGAGTCAAAAGTTGAAATTGTTTTATAAAGGTAGTCGGATTGGCTGTAAAAGAACCAAGGCTGGCCTGAATGAGAGCTAGTTCAGACATAGGAAAAGGAGTATGAACGCGAACAATTCCTTCGGCTCCGGCTATCTTGCGTAAGGGCGCCATCGTGTGGCCCTTGTGTGACCTGGAGCGAGTGAGGGGTGGAGTTGGTGCATGGGGTGGGGCAGTGGGAGGTCCAGGGGAAATGAGAGAGGCGGGAGATTCAGAGGGTTGAGAGGAGTCAGATGGAGTAGGGGGAGGAGTAGAAGGAATTTTTGCCGCCGGATAAGGAGGAGGGTCATCTGCCGGTTGGGCGGGGGAGTCAGAAGAAGAGGAGTTGGTGGTGGAAAGGCTTTGAGTCAGCAAAAATATTGGAGCAGTTTTGGCGGCGGAACAGAGAGAGAGGTCTGATTAGCAAGATAGGAAAAGCCTGGATATATGGGATCTCCGACCACTTTCCTTGTCGCTCACAGAAGTTGTAAAGGTCTCTAATCAGACCCGATTCAAAGGAGCCGTTAGGCAGCCGGACGCTTTGATTGTCTAATTGATATTGGGGCCAAATATGAGAGGACAGGTGAATCAGCCGCTTGGGTTTTAAATCAAGACCCTTTAAATTCTTGAATAAGCATCCCAAAGGAGAGTCTGCGGGTATGGAGGAGCCAGAGCCCATGACCACCGGGATAAGGAGGTTATCAGAAGTCCAGACGTCTCCGAGAGTTCTGTGAT